GGGAAATCAGAGCCCTCCAGGAACTGATGGCTGGTTTCACTGGGGGACTTCCCTATGGAATCCCAGGGAAGGAGATTCCCACTGGAAATAAATTAAACCGTTTGTTTTCCCCCACCATAAATTAATTCATTTTCCCCCTGAACTGAACCATCCTTCCCATCAATCCCACCTTTCCCGAGTGCTCCATCCCTGGCCTGGCACAAGCCTTGGGAGCTGCCCTTGCCTTTTCCCAGCCTCATTCCCGGCTGCCTCCAGAGCTCGCTCCCACATTTCTCCCCGAGTTTCCCTCGCACCTTCATCCCTGGGATCGGATTTCCCCGGGATCATCCAAGCCCGGCGGCTCCTTATCCCACCCGGCGCAATTCCCGGCGCTGAATCCCGAGTTCCTCGGGATCGGCGCGTGGAGAGAGCCCTCTGCAGCCCGCTGGCTGAATCCATTCATTCCCGGGAATCCTTCCCGCGGTTCCCTGCTTCCCTCCCGCCCCCAGAACCTCCGGGAATGACACCGGGATGCAGGGATCGCTGTGCCCATGGCCAGCTCAGCCTGCAACACAAATTCCTAAGCTTTGTGTTATTCGGGATACAGGATTTCTCCCTTTTTTCTGCCCCTTTTTCCTGCTCTTGCTGAGCAGGAGGGACCTCATGAAGCTCCGGAAAAGGGGGGACCAAATCCAGGCCTGGGGGTTCCAGAGCTTTCTCCTCGTTTTGGCTGAGGATGCACCAACACTTGGGGGGCTTCTCCTGCCAGAATTCCCTGGAATGTTCTCCCTGAAATGTTAATTAGACACAGAATCATGGAGTGGTTTGGGTTGGAAGGGAACTTAAGGATCATCCAGTTCCATGGGCAGGGACACCTCCCACTAGCCCAGGTTGCTCCAGCCTGGCCTTGGACACTTCCAGGGATCCAGGGGCAGCCACAGCTTCTCTGGCAAATCCAGTCCAGGCCCTCCCCACCCTCACAGCCAGGAATTCCTGTCCAATATCCCAACTAAACTTATCCTCTTTCAGTTAAAGCCATTCCCTGTGTCCTGTCCCTCCATCCCTTGTCCCCAGTCCCTCTCCAGCTCTCCTGGAGCCCCTTCAGGCCCTGAAAGGGGCTCTCAGCTCTCCCTGGAGCCTTCTCTTCTCCAGGGGAAGCCCCCCAGCTCTCCCAGCCTGGCTCCAGAGCAGAGGGGCTCCAGCCCTGGCAGCATCTCCGGGGCCTGGGCTCTCTCCAGCAGCTCCACATCCTCCTGCTGTTGTTCCCAGGGCTGGAGCAGCTCTGCAGGGGGATATCACCCCTTTTGAAGGCTCCAAGGAGTCCCAAGACCTGCCCGTCCCACCCTTTCTGAGACCTTTTCCGTGTCGGTGCCAGCTCAGTCTCCCACCCCAAATATCCTGTTCCACAGGAAACTCCCTGTGGGATCCCTCCACTCCTCCACCTGCCCTTGCCACGGGTCTCCCAGAGCTCCCAACCCCATCCACAAACCATCCCAGAGCATCCCAGACAGCCCTGGGAAACAAGGCAGCATTTTCCGAGCATCCCAAACGTTTAAGCGACAAAATTCCCCCCTCCAGCCTCTTCTGGGATGATATTCCCAGAAAGAAAATCTGCAGGAACCTGCTTTGGAGGCTTTGGGACCTGTTGAGTGAGGACAACAACCTAGGAGAGGGTTTTGTTCCCTTCCTTTGCCAGGAGAAACAACAATCCTGATTCTCCGGAGCTGGAAGAGGCGGCAGAAGCTCCCGGAACTCCCGACTTGGCTGGGAACAACACCAAGGAATTTTCAGCAGCTGCCAAAAACTGGGCACATGCCCAGCGAGGGATCTTTCATGTCCTACAGCCTCTGGACACTTGAAAGCCCGACCTTGTCCCTGGGTGTGGGACCTCCAAAGCCACGGCCCGGAGGGGTTGGGATGGAGCAGCATCCCACATGGAATGTGCCGGTTGGAGGATCCCACCGGGCTCGTGTCACCGAGCCATCAAAGGCTCCTTCCAAAGGCAGCCCACCCTGCTGCCTTCAATCCCACCCTGGAGCATCCCACGTCCCAGTTTTCTGTAGGACAAACAGAGGGATGTCACGGGAACTGCCCTCAAAGGGATTTTCCGAGGCCGGAGCGGGAAGAGCGCAGGAGGGGATCCCATCAAAAGAGGCAGGAGGTGGCATTTCCAAGGAGGGGAGAAAGGACATCCTGGTTTTCCAAAGGCCACGCTGTTGGCAGGGATAAAGCAGAGGGAAGGGCTGGGAGGGTCCAGCAGGGATGGGTTTGACATCTCTGGCACTCGGGGGCTGGATTGGGGTTGCTGAAAAGGGCAGCAAAGGATCAGGTTCCAAAGGAGCCAGAGGATCATCCTAAGGCTGGGAAAGGCTGGGAGAGCAGAGCAACAGCACATGGAATTTGCAAAGAAGGAGTCAGACTTCCCCCCCCCCACAAGGAACAGTGGGAGGCCCGAGTTGGGTGGGCTCTGGTTCTGTTTTTACCTGGGAAATGTGGGATGACCACCAAGGGCCCGCATTCCTGCAAGGATCCCACCAGAATTCCACAGGTCAGGGCACCCAGGACCCAGCCCCCTTCCTGGACAGCAGCAGGACAACATGTGGGGATCCTGTTCCATGCTGGGATCCCTGTTCCATACTGGGATCCCTGTTCCATAAGGAAATCACTGTTCCACGCTGAGATCCCTGTTCCACACCAGGATCCCTGTTCCACACCGGGATCCTTGTCCCACATCGGGATCACTGCTCTTGTCCCGTTCCAGGATCCCTGTCCCACACCAGGATCCCTGTCCCACACTGGCATCCCTGCCCTTGTCCCATTCCAGGATCCCTGTCCCACACAGGAATGCCATTCCCATGCAGGGACCCCATTCCCAGGCCAGGATCCCTGTCTGTGCTGGGACTCCAGTCCTATACTGGGATCATTGTCCCATTCCAGGATCCCTGTCCCATGCTGACACCCCAATCCTATTCCAGAATACCTATCCCATGCTGGGATCTTCATCCCATGCCAGGACCCCCATCCCACACCAGGATCCCACTCCCATGCCAGGATCCATGTCCCACTCTGGAATCCCTGTCCCAGTCTGGAATCCCTGTCCCACTCTGGGATCCCTGTCCCACTGGGATCAATGTCCCACTCCGGGATCCCTGTCCCACTCTGGAATCCCTGTCCCACTGGGATCCACGTCCCACTCTGGGATCCATGTCCCACTCTGATCAATGTCCCACTCTGGGATCCCTGTCCCACTCTAGGATCCCTGTCCCACTGGGATCCATGTCCCACTCTGGGATCCCTGTCCCACTCTAGGATCCCTGTCCCACTGGGATCCATGTCCCACTCTGGAATCCCTGTCCCACTCTGGAATACTTGTCCCACTCTGGAAACCCCGTCCCACTCTGGGATCCCTGTCCCACTGGGATCAATGTCCCACTCTGAGATCTGTCCCATTCTAGGATCCCTGTCCCACACTAGGACTCCCATCCCATGACAGGATCCCACTCCCATCCTGGGATCCCTATCCCATTACAGGATCCCATTCCCAAGCCAGGACCCCAGTCCCACATCGGCATCAGTCCAGGGGCCTGGGGCTGATCCCGGCTTAACTTGAGTCTGGAATAAAACCTGGAATCACGTGGGAACGGGCAAAGTCAGGATGTTCCATTTCACTTTGTCCTAAAAGAAAATATTCTGATTTTTCATTCCCAAACAACATTTCCAGGGAGAGCTGAAAGAGGGACAATTATTCTTCCAAGGACTGGGAAAAGCTGGGCCTGAATCCAGAGGCAGTTTAAAGGGAGTTTTTTCCCTTTAAAAGTCAACGAGGGAAAATTCTTCTGGGTCAGACAGGGAGGGCAGTGGGATGGATGGAGGGATGGGTGGAGGGATGGAGGGAGGGATGGAGGGATGGATGGATGGAGGGATGGAGGGAGGGAGGGAGGGAGGGAGGGATGAAAAGCCTGGCTTTCCAGAGCCCAGCCCTTGGGAACACCTGGACACGGCCCGACTGTGCATGGAGTTCTGCTGACACCTACAGGGCATTCCAGGGATGAGGCCACGGTTCCAGGACGGACCGAGTCCATGGAATTAGAGAATCCCAGGATGCTTTAGGTTGGAAGGGGCCTTAAAGTCCACCCAGTGCCACCCCCTGCCATGGGCAGGGACACCTTCCACTAGACCAGATTGCTCCAACCTGGCCTTGGACACTTCCAGGGATCCAGGGGCAGCCACAGCTTCTCTGGCAAATCCATTCCAGGCCCTCCCCACCCTCACAGCCAGGAATTCCTTCCCAATATCCCATTTAAATGTACTCTGTGTCAGTCTGAAGGATCAGCCCATCCCAGGAACCTGGTACAGGAAACCTGGATCACATCTGGATCATCCCATCCCTGACCTGCTGCAGCCACAGCTTGCTCACCTCAAACTTCCATGAACTGAATCCCACTGCTCTGTGTCCCAGGAAAGGGAGGGGACAAGGCCTGAGGTCTCCATGGACAGGAGAGGGATGAGGTGCCTCTTCCAGAAGCAACAACTTCTTCCAGCATGGAATTTTTTATTAGGAAAAGATCCACTAACGACAAACTTAATCCACTAAAAAACACTCAGAGGAGTGGAACACTCCAGAGGGTTGGGAAATTTTGGGAAGCAAGGCAAATCCCACGCTAAACTCAGGTGGATGCAGAGCAGCCAACGGGTCCTGAACCAAGAGCCACTTCCCATGGGAATTCTGGGTGAGCCCATGGATGTTCCCAGGGAGAGCTCGTGGTGTCTGCCAGGAACAGGAGCCCCAATCCCTTGGGAAAAGGTCCTGCCTCTCCAAGGGCCACGTGGGCATCTCCCTCCTTTCCCAGCAAGAGGACAGTGAGTCTGGATTGACCTCGACTGGAGTTTTTCCCACTTTTCCCTGCTCCGAGTCCCGGCAGGTGAGTTCCAGCCCAGGGGGGCGTGTCCCGCTCCCTGCAATCCCGGGAAGTTTGCCAGGAACGTTCCTCAGCGGCCAGCCGGGCTCCTGGGATCTGCCCCTCCCCTCCAGGCACGGCAGGATTTGGGAACTCCTGGGAAAGGGCCGAGTGTGTCCCGGGGGTCACCCCGAGGGAACGGGGCGGGAGCTGGAGCCGGCTCCGAGGCTGCCGACGGATCCCTCAGTCGGAGTCGGATCCCTCCTGCTTTGCTGATCCCACGGCAGACGCCAACTCCTCCTCCTGCCCCTTCAGCCTCTCTCCTGCAGGGATCAGGATGCACTGCTGGGAATGGGAAGTGACCCCGGGGAGGGGCTGCCCCGCTCCCCCAGCCCACAAACCCTTCCCTGGGCCAATCCAAGTGCCCCTGGAGCTCCTGGGCAGCTTCCCAGACACTTCTGGGAAGGGGCCAAGTTCCCCCCATCCCTCCCTGGCCCAGAGCTCCCAGCAGGAATGAGGGGGTCCCCAGGGAATGGCACCCACGGATCAGCTCCGCGATGGCTCTCTGGGTCCTCTTCTCCAGCTTCTCCAGCTTCTTGGACACATCCCGCTTCAAATCCCTGGGGAGAGAGAGGCCACGTTGGGACAATTCCATGCCCAGGCAGGAGGGGACACGAGGGCCACAGGACACCTTTCCCAGAGGGAGAGAAATCCCTCCTCTTTCCCAGGGGCAGCACGGAGCAGGACGTGAGTCCCAGCAGCTCCTGGGAAAACCAAGCCCATCCCGTGGGGACAAACATCCCAAAGGGATCAGCAGGAAAAGGGAACACTGGTGGCTTCCTCGAGAGTTTCCAATTTCATAGAATTCTGGAATGGTTTGGGATGGAAGGGACCTTAAAGGTCATCTCATTCCAATACCCCTGGATCAGCCCTGGATCGGCCCATCCCAAGATCCTGGCACAGGGAACCTGGATCAGCCTTGGATCAGCCCATGCCAGGAACCTGGCACAGGGAACCTGGATCATCCCTGCATCAGCCCATCCCAGAAACCTGGCACAGGGAACCTGGATCAGCCCATCCCAGGAACCTGGCACAGGGAACCTGGATCACTCCATTCCAGGAACCTGGAACAGGGAACCTGGATCAGCCCATCCCAGGAACCTGGAACAGGGAACCTGGATCAGCCCATCCCAGGAACCTGGTACAGGGAACCTGGATCAGCCCTGGATCAGCCCATCCCAGGATCCTGAACAGGGAACCTGGATCAGCCCTGGATCAGCCCATCCCAGGATCCTGAACAGGGAACCTGGATCACCCCTGGATCAGCCCATCCCAGGATCCTGGAACAGGGAACCTGGATCAGCCCATCCCAGGAACTTTGGCATCTGGATGATCCCTGCATCAGCCCATCCCAAGATCCTGGCACCTGGATCACCCCTGGATCACTCCATCCCAGGATCCTGGCACAGGTGGGCCAGGACACCTTCCACTATGTTTTCCTGGCACTTTTAACCCCCAAATCAGGTTCTCCGGGATATTTCCGGCACTTCCAACCCCACTTGGACGATCCCAAGGCCTTGGAAGCGCTGACTCCAGCAGCCTCTCCCAGAGCTCCACAGGCACTCACCAGTCGGGTTTCCTGGGAGCCAGGTTTGCCAGATCCTACGGAGGAAGAGGAGACATCCAGTGAGAGGGAAAAGCAGGGATGGAGCCTGGACACAGGGATGCAGCCGGCAGGGAATGCCTCGGGAATTACCTACCACCTCATCGATGATGGGCTCGGGCTTGGCAGCTTCCAGCTGCTCCTTCACCGTGTCCTCCACTAGAGGGAGAAACAGGATCAGCGTCGGGACACCGGGAATCGATCCCAGCAGAGCCCCGGGAATCGATCCCAGCAGAGCCCCGGGCTCGGCTCCCGAAAGCTTTGGGAAAACCCCGTTCCCACATTTCTGCCTTAAAAACACGTGGGGACAGGTGGGGACGGCGTCCCTCCGCCACCCAAATCCTGTGGAGACTCCTGAAAATCCTCCGGGAATGATGCAACACAACCAACGGCGTCAGCGGCAAAGAACCTGCGGGGTCTGAGGCCTCTTCCCGGAATCCCTGCAGGGATCAGCTGCTCCAGGGCTCTGGAATTGGACTCCCCCTGACTCGTGTACAGGGTCTGAGACAGTTTGGAGGAGCCCAGCTCTGCAGAAAGGTCTGGAGATCTCAGGGATAATGGGAAAAGGTGTGGAAAACAGCTCCCTGTCCTTCAGCTGAGCAAGGAAGGGGGGGCAGCTCCAGGAGCACATCCCTGAGGGGTCAGTCCCGCTCCAGAGAGGCCCGGAATCACTGAGGTTGGAAAAGCCCTCTGGGATCATCCAACCATTCCCAGCACTGCCAAGGCCACACTGCCCATGTCCCCAAGTGCCACATCCACAGGGCTTGGAAATCCCTCCAGGGATGGGGATTCCAGGAGGAATTTTCCCAATATCCAACCTGACCCTCTCCTGGCACAGCCCTGAGGCCGTTCCCTCTCCTCCTGTCCCTTGTTCCCTGGGAGCAGAGCCCGGCCCCCCCCCCCGCCTCCCCCCCCCCTCCTGGGAATTCCAGGGAGCCAGAAGGTCCCCCCTGAGCCTCCTTTGCTCCAGGCTGAACCCTCTCAGCTCCCTCAGCTGCTCCTGCTGCTCCAGCCCCTTCCCAGCTCCACTCCCAGCTCCCTTCCCTTCCCTGCACACACTCCAGCCCCTCCGTGCCCTTCTTGTGACATTCAGAGGAAGCTGGAAGCTTTTCCAAAGGACTGAGGAAAATGCAGTGCCAGCATTCCCACCCACCCCAGCTCGGAGCTTCCAAAGGCACCTTTTGATTCCGGGCATTTTTAAAGGGATCTGTTCCAGGAGGACTCCACGTTCCAAGAACAAGGGAAGCTTTTCTACCCTTCACTTCCCCTTCTGGAAGCAGGTGGAGGTTCCGAGCTGGGAAATCCCAGCCTGGACGCCCTGGACTAATATTTGTTTAAGGATAAGTCCAACAAAACCCAGGCAGAATCTCCTTGAGGATCCTCCAGGGAGGCTCCCGAGGGGCTGGAATGGCTGGAATTGCTCCCCCCCACCACCAAGTTGTGCAATGCAGGGTGTGAGGATGATGATGATGCAACGGGGGGGCTCAGACATTCCAACCCCTTCCAGGGCTCCAAGGACCTCCCACCGGGACACAGCCCTCTGGATCTTCCACCCTGGAAGGAGTTTTCCAAGCCTTTGCTCCCATTTGTTCCCACCTGAGGCCGGTTTTCCCGGGGGCAGCTTCCTCTTCTTCAGCTCCTCATCCTCGGGCTCGTAATTCCGCAGTTTGATCTCCCTGGGGAAAAACAGGGAAGAGCACAAAGAGGTGAAATCTCCCCAGGAAAAACAGGGAAGAGCCCAGAGCGATGAGACACGTCCGGGATGTCCCAGATCCTGGGAGCGAGGGGGAAAACTGGCATCAGGAGCCACAGAGGCAGCTAAAAGCATGGAATCATGGGATCATTTAGCTTGGAAAAGCCTCCAATATCATCAAATCCAGTAGTGCTGAGGCCACCACTGCCCCGTGTCCCCAAGTGCCACATCCACAGGGATTTGAAATCCTTCCAGGGATGGGGATCCACCCCTGCCCTGGGCAGCTGAGGTAAATTATGGAATAATAGAATGGATGGGATCTTAAGGATCATCCCATTCCACACCCCCTGCCATGGGCAGGGACACCTTCCACTGGCCCACATTGCTCCAACCTGGCCTTGGACACTTCCAGGGATCCAGGGGCAGCCACAGCTTCTCTGGCAAATCCATTCCAGCCCCTCCCCACCCTCACAGCCAGGAATTCCTTCCCAATATCCCAACTAAACTTATCTTCTTTCAGCCTGAAGCCATTCCCTGTGTCCTGTCCCTCCATCCCTTGTCCCCAGTCCCTCTCCAGCTCTCCTGGAGCCCCTTCAGGCCCTGCAAGGGGCTCTCAGCTCTCCCTGGAGCCTTCTCTTCTCCAGGGGAACCCCCCCAGCTCTCCCAGCCTGGCTCCAGAGCAGAGGGGCTCCAGCCCTGGCAGCATCTCGGGGCCTCCTCTGGACTCTCTCCAGCAGCTCCACGTCCTTCCCCTGCCGAGGATCCCAGGGCTGGACATTGTGCTCCAGGTGGGATCTCAGCACGTCCCTAAAGCCAAGGACATGAGGACATTCCTCCTTCCCTGAGGAATCTGAAGGGTTAAAAACATGGATATTTAAAAACTGCTCATTTCCCCAGCAATGGGTTAAAGGAAATCCGGCTGCCAGCGGTGCCAGAGACTCCTCCTGTGCCACATTCCAGAGACATCCCGGGGCACTTTGGCACCTTCCTCATCGTGAATTATCCACATTCCCAGGAAAATGAAACCAAAACAACCCAAAACTTCCAACAGGCCTCAAGGCAGAACCCAGGAGCCAGCTGAGGGATTGCAGCTCCCAGGGGTGGAGGACACATCCCATCGGGAAGGACGGAGCACCCGGCCAGGAGCTGGGATTGATCCATCTGGGATCAGCCTCCCGCAGGGCCACTCGCAGGTTTTATTGGCATCTCCTTAAAACTGATGGATGTGCCCAAATCCAGGAGATCTCCTGCTCCTTGAGCACCTCGTGCCATGTCTGCCAGCCCAATCCAGCCAGGAACACCATGGATGGAGGTGGCTACAGCTGGATACAGGGCTGGCAGCTCCAGGGAGCACAGGAGGATTTCGGGAGCTGCAGCATTCCAGAGGGAGGCACAGACACACACAGGGGTCCCATGTTCCCTGCTTTGGGTCAGGAATGCCTCAAATCCACTTTTCCCTCCAGGCTGGAGCTCCTGGCTGGGGAATGAGGAGGGAGAGCAGCTCCTTTGGAAGGAGGAGGGTGGGCAGTGGCACGTTGGGAATGTGTGGAATGCCCGGAGTTATCTTGAAGCAAACCAGGCCCCTGGAGCTGCTCCCAGGTTGGTTCTGCTCCACTGCTCCAGCCCCGAGGGCTTCACGGAGCAAACACTGTTCCAGTGGATTTTTCCAAGTGATATCCTTCCCTCAGGAGCACCAGGAATGGCTTTGCCAAGAAACCCCATAACAGGGATTTCTTCAGTGCTGCAGGTTCCCTGTTCCCACATTTCCTCCCAAAACAGCCACTTGGAGCTGCTTCAGGAGCAGCTTCCCAGTTTCTCTCCCTGAGGACAAGGCTTGTCCCTCCAGGGACACCAGGAAAACTGGACTGAGATCCCAGAATCCCAGAATGGTTTGGGTGGGAAGGGGCCTTAAAGACCATCCAGTTCAGGGACACCTTCCACTGTCCCACATTGCTCCAACCTGGCCTTGGACACTTCCAGGGATCCAGGGGCAGCCACAGCTTCTCTGGCAAATCCATTCCATCCCTCCCCACCCTCACAGCCAGGAATTCCTTCCCAATATTCCAGCTAAATTTACTCTCTTTCAGTTTAAGCCATTCCCTGTGTCCTGTCCCTCCATCCCTTGTCCCCAGTCCCTCTCCAGCTCTCCTGGAGCCCCTTTAGGTCCTGGAAGGGGCT